TGGGTGTGTGTGTGTGTGTGTGTGTGTGTGTGTGTGTTTTGACATACTTTACGTCCTAGCTCAAATGCAAATCACCCACGTAAATACCCCCTATTTAGAATCTGAAACCAACCATATACATACACCCTGTTCCCTATCCCCGCTTCTGGCTTTTCTCCATATCACTTATATTTTAGCTATTTGTTTATTGTCTCTCTCCTCACATAATGTAAACCTCATGAGAACAGAGATTTGGGCCTGTTTTATTCACTATTGTATCCCCACACCTATTACATATGTGGCACATGGTTGAATGAACCAACAGCCAGTTCTTTGTCAATCATCCTGGTGTTGATGGTACCCAAGCTATGTTTCCAAACGTACTGTGCTTCTGAACTGCATAGCTTTCTTTCCATCTGCCCGCCAGGCATATGTACCTTGCTGTCACTTCAGCATCTCAAGCTGCACATGTTTAAAATAATTGCTTTCCTCTTTTCTTTCTCCCAAGCCTGTTCTTGTTATTCAGGAATGTGGAACTACTGCTGCTACTGCTGCCAGATGTACTGATTTTTTTCAGAGAAGCCAGAAATCCAGAATTTTGAGTGTTTAATCTCTTGTTCTGTTTTTGTTTTTCACCACTTTTCCCCCATAGGTTACCAGTTTATAATCTTTCATCCATAGACCAAAAGGAAAAGAATTTATTAAGCAGCTGCTCTGTGCCAGCTACCATTTAGTCTCATTTAATCTTCACACCAGCCCTCTGAGAGTAGGAATCTTTGTATTTTAGCTAGAGAAGCAAAACCACTGTGAATATTAAAAAGAATAAGGATTTATTATAAGAATCAGATTTTTCACCACTGTAGAAGAAGATGGAGGAGGAGTATGGCCCTGAAAGAGGTAGTTAGCGGATAGGGAAAAAGTCATTGAGAAGCCCTTCTAAAGTACTGGCACAGGTGAAAAAGTGAGATTTTGCAGGGGAATATGTAAAGCTGGACACATCCAGCTGCCAGTGTGACTGTGATGGAGGAATATGTTGAGGGCTGTTGCCCTGCATCCATTTATGGGCCTGGTGTCACTAGAGCAAGAAGTAATAAGAACTTGGATTCCAAGTGTATAAGAAGAGTAAAGTCAGGCTAGAATCTAGCAGCACCTCTGCCTTTGTTTCTTACCTCCCCTAAAAACAACCAAGGCAATGGCTGCTACTTCATGTCCACATTATAATTCTTAGAGATTTCTGTAACCTCAGGCCATACAGGTAGTTCTAGCTTAGCCAAGTTATTACAGAACAAAACTACCACAATAAGTATTGTCATTTTACTCAGAGAATTTAAGTAACTTAACTAGAAGGCTCACATATCAGATGTCATAACTCAACTTGCAACCCTGTGCTTGCTCAGCAATACTATTCTGTCCACATTTAAATCCTTTAGTTTAATTTTCCATGATCCCGTTCCAAACTAGCTTTGTAGATGGCAGATATGAGCAATCTATTCCATTCATTTTAAACTGTAGAAAAAATATATTCTCCAAGTGTTCTTTCATGCCTTTTCACCTCTGGACTTTGCTAATATATTTTTTTTCTTTGCCTGAAATGCTTCCCCTCTACCTACTTTTTCTGTTTCCCTTTTGTTAACCTTCATAGTTTTACCCATCTTTCTATGCCTGGTTCCAGTGTATATTCTCTGTAAAACTTCATTATCTCTTGTCCCCCCTAGCCCAGAGCAATTTCTATATTCCCATAATACTTGTTTCATACCATTTTCATGATACTTATCTCGGTTTACCTTATCTTCTCTGCTAAATTGTAAGCTGATCATGTCTTATTCATGCCTTACGCCATATCCCTCTTGTACATTGTAGTCGTTCAGTAAGTATTTGATGAATCGGTTATCCTGTACCCACTTGCATCCCAAAGCTGAGAAGACTGAATTTGCAACCTGTTCTTCTCTAGTTTGATAATAATCAAGTTTCTTAATGTACTTTTCTTCCTAATTCTGCAGCCTAAATATTATTTAATGAATTGTTGTTATTGTTGTTTTCTTTTTCATTAATCTGCTCTTCTCTAACTACTGCTTATCTTGTAGCCGATTTGTCATTGAAAGTAAACCAGCACCTTGTACCATTCTAGACCATGATCGTGTGATGATTCTATTTATCCTAGTGATTCTTTTATGATAGTACAGTGCATGTGTTTTGGAAGAATTGGATTTTTATGCTTTGCTAGGATTAAAATTATCTTTTCTCTCAGGATGCATAATATTAAAGTTCAGATAAATTAATTCAATTCCATGATTCTTTTGAAATATCTCTACTCTTTAATCCAGAAGAGAAATAATAAATTCTTTTGCCTGATTTCATGTAAGCATTCAACTTCTTTGATTGTACCTCACTTTACCCTTTATGATGTTCAGTGTAAAATGATGTACTTATGTTTCTAATTATTTACCTTTCTACTTTAGCTATATTTTTGTTCACCATCTTAAATTATACATTTCAGATCTGGCACCTAGATTCTTTCAGATAATTTGGTATATGCAAATAAATACTAAGAGAAAGCTCAAATTTGAGCAGTAAAAACTATGAGAGCAATAAGTTAACTTATAACTGTTAACATGAAGTAAATCATAGCGTATAGAACTAGAGTCCGGAACACCTGCTTTAGCTTGTACCTGGAAAAACTGGAGAAAGTTGTTAAGAGAGAACTTCTCTGGTCCCTTCCTGCTGTGATGTTTTATGACAGATATTCTATATAACTGAAGCATATCACTTTAAGTGACAACCTTTTAGCAATTTCAGATGGAAATATTTCTCTTCTTTGTATGTGCCTTAATATTTTTATTTTTATATGCCTTTGATAAGAAAGGTTATTTTCATACCTTCTTCAGCTAAGGCATTATAAACACAATTTAACCTTTTCTGTATGAATTCAGATTATTACTATAAGAAGTAATTCTTGTATTGTACTTTAATATAATGATGTAATATTCTTGAAGTTTTTTGAAGCCTGTAGGAGTCTTTGATCTAATTGTATTTAACTCCCAAAGAATAGTCTATATGAGTTTTTATGCCTGCTGTTTTATAGTATTCTTAATTTACTTATTGTCAAGACGTTACTTGTCTTTTCTTGCTGTTTCTGTGCCTGCCACTAACACTTCTCTAACATACTGCTTTTAATCCAGGTTTTTGCAACTAGTTTTTTAGGATTTTGTGTAAAACAAGAACCTCTCAGGGGTAAACGTTGGTAAATGAATTTTATCTTAAAGCATAGACTTTGTAATAAATGTTTTTGACTACCCAGAGCCCAGACTTCAGCAGTTATTATTTTCAGAATCTGGTGATTTGAGCAAAGTAAAGAGCATTTTTACTTTGAATTGTGCCAATTTGCCTTAAAGAATCCTGACAAGTAATTTGGAGAGTAACAATTAAATGCCTCATTTTACCTTTTAGTAGTTAGTTTTAAAGGCAACATACAATTAGAGGCTTTATAGTTAATGATGTTATAATACCTGAAGTCATGGGCAGGTTATCATGAAAGAGAAATTGAAACTAGTGGGTTATTGAAGAAGAAATAAGATTGATAGTTGCTTAATAGAAATTATACTAAAAGGTTATGAGTTCGTTTTTCTTTTTTCTTTTGCTTTTCTATTTTAATTCATTCATCACTAACAGATCTCCCAGAATTGAAAAAAATTCTAAAGATTAGTTCTTACTGACAATAATCCTTTTGATGTGATAGCTGCCTTGAGTTTTGTACAGGGAATGCTCACTTTTCCAGAGAATACATCCAAAATTTGTAACACCAAAAGGAAAGTTGCAGGATGAGGAATATTAGGCACTATTTATTTATATAGATAAAATTAACAAAAATTACTAAGTGAAGTTGAAATAAATTGGAAATAGAAGTATTTTCAAACTGGAGTTGACAACAGATAGTGCCAGTGGAAAGTATTGTTTCTTTTCTTTATGGAAAAATACAGACTTTTCATTGCCTGAGGAAAATAATCACCTTTGTGAGAATATTGGTTTCCTATTTCTGCTGTAACATTTTACTATAAACTAGGAAGTGTAAAACAACACAAATTTATTCACACCAGAAGTTCGAACTGCAACCTCCAGAGCCAAAATCAAGACGTCAACAGGGCTGGTTCCTTCTGGAGGCTCCAGGAGACAATCTGTTTTTTTGCCTCTTCCAGCTTCTGGTGGCTGCCACCATTCCCAGACTTGTCACATCACTCCAATCTCTACTTCCATAGTCACATTGCCTCCTCTTTCTGTAGTTTAATCTCCCTCTGCCGCCTCTTATGAAGACACTTGTGGTTACATTTAGCGCCCATCCAGGTAATCTAGGATAATCTCTGCATCTCAGGATCCTTAACTTAATCGCATTTGCAGTTTCTTTTGCCATATACGATAACATGCACTTGTTCTAGGGATTAGGACCTGGATATCGTTGGGGGAGGGCATTAGTCTCCTGCAGTGAGTATAGGTACTCACTGTGCATCTGCTTCCAGCTGCAGATTTCTTCTCCCCTACCCCCCCACACACTGTCTCCTTCTCCCTTCACTCATATTTTTTTTTCCTTAAATTACTTAAGCCGACTAAGTGTCATCTCTGCATACCAGCTTCCAGCTTGTTTATGTTATATGTGAAAATTAGGCTGACGGAATCTCACTGCATAAGCAATAGACTGTCTTTAAGGGAATAAAAATCAGACTCAGGTGGTAGAGTACTAGAAAGAGAATAGTAATCCTTCATTTTAGTTTCAACTCCGTCATTAACCGTATAATTTTGAACAAGTTTCTTAATATCCCCAGGCCTTACTTATTTTTATAAGTAAAATTTTTTTTTAGCTTTAAATTATTTTAAGTTCTTTACAATTTCATCAAATTAATATTGAAGACTTCATTGCTTAATGGTTATTTAAAATTATAATTGTCTTGTAAATTTAAATTACTTTTATTTCACTTTTTCTAGAATTATATAACCATATTTTTTTCCCTCCAACCATTTTATATTATTTTCCTAGGCATCTGATTTGAAGTTTAAAGTATTACGTGTTTTGATTAACAGGAGGATCAACTTTTTGTGGCATTGCATCACTGTGTCTCATGGATAAACTAGAAGAAGTTTTTTCAGAAAAAGAGTTGAACAGGATAAAGAGGTGGTGTATAATGAGGCAACAAAATGGTTATCATGGAAGACCAAATAAGCCTGTAGACACCTGTTACTCTTTTTGGGTGGGAGCAACTCTAAAGGTAAGAGAAATAATAAAAATGAGAAACCTATACTCTAATATAAACTGTGTTTATATTAACCAAAAGGATTTGGTCTCTGTAATGTTCATTAAATATTGTTAGATTTAGGCTACTAAGTTTTTCCTGTAGCTCTGGCAAAACTAGTCTCTTTATGGTTTTTCCATAGAATTCAGTTATTTGTTGTACTACTTGAAAATTTTCATTCTTATAACACTCAAGTGGTTTAGAACCTAGATAAGAAAGTAGGTATAAGGTCATAAAAAACTTGGTACTGAAACCAACCTGTTGTCCATCTAGAGCAGAGATCTGTCTGAACATATCAGTACAGATTTTATGGGAAAATATTAATTTTAAAAGATAAACCATCAGCCATTCCTTTAAAAATCAGTTAAGGCTTTCTTTTTTATATTAATTTATTTATGTAAACCTTCTGAAATGTATTGATATATTCATATATTTTTCACAATTTCTACTACATTTCGATATACCTATCTCCATAAGGTTATTAGCCACTAAATACTCACAAGTTTCCTCTATCTTTTTTTTCTCTATCTTAAAATTGCTTTTTCACCTTTAAAAACTTATCATCTAGTTCTGATATTCTGGAATCTAAAAACAAATTATGGAAAATTTCATAATTTTAATTATGGAAAATTTCATATATTCCGAAATAGGGGGACTAATGTATAATGAACTCCCATATACCTGTCAACCAATTTCAACAGTTTTCATCCCAAAGCCAGCCTTCCTGAACATCCATACTCTTACCTACTTCTCTCCCCCTCACCGTATTATTTTAAGGCAAATCCCAGACACAACTTTTATATTACCTGGAATTGTTCAGTATAATCACTAAATGAAAATACTGTTTTAAAAAACAGAACTGTAGTATCATTATCACGTCTAAAGATCAGCCATAATTCCTTATTATTACTTAACATCCAGTCAGTGATGATGTATATTTCCTGTTGAATCACATCAAGAGGGGTATAATCTCTGGTTGTCTCCCTTTTGACCAGAGGGCTGCAGAATTGTCAAACCCGATTTAATTCATTATTAAGTCATCAGTTTTTTTCTTTTTTTTTTTAATAGTGGTAAAATATACATCATATTTATCAGTTTAACTATTTGTAAGTATACAAGTCAGTGACATTAATTACATTCACGGTGTTGTGTAGCCATTGCCACTATCTGTACCCAAAAGTTTTTCATCATTGGGTGTCAGATGGGTACTGGATTTATTGGGGCGATCACTTCATAACGTAAAGAAAAGGTGTTTTTTCCATCATCCTCAACGTAAAATATGTACTCATTGAAAGATAACTCTCCTTTCTTTCCTCCTTCCAGCCCCTGATAACCTCTACTCCACTTTCTGTCTCTATTCTAGATGTGTCATATAAATGGAATCATATGTGCCCTTCTTTGTCTGCTTGTTTCACTTAGTATAATGTTCTCAAAATCCATTCATGTTGTAGCATGTATCAAAATTGTATTCTTTGTTATGGCTGAGTAATACTCTGTTGTATGTGTGTACCACATTTTGTTTATCCATTTACCTGTTAATGGACACTTGGGTCATTTCCACCTTTTGGTTATTGTGAATAAGGTGGCTATGTAGTCCATAATGTAGTAACTATGTATAGTGTCAGATGGTTATTAGACTTATTGGGGTGAACACTCTGTAAGATATATAAATGTCTAATCACTATGTTGTACACTTGAAACTAACAGAATATTGTGTGTCAATTATAACTGAAAAATAATCTTGTGTCATTTATAACAAAAATAATTTTTTATAGAATTATGGCTGTGAATGTTAATGTACAAATATCAGTTCAGGTCCCTGCTTGCATTTCTTCCGAATTACATATTCTCTTTAACTTTTTGAGGAACCACAGACTTCAACAACCGCTGTACCATTTTACATTCCCACTAGCATTGTATAAGATCTCTGATTTGTCTGCATCTTCACCACTTGTTTTTTAATAGACATCCTAATAGTTGTGAAGCAGTATCTCATTGTGTTTTGATTTGCATTTCCCTAATGCTTAGTGATATTGAGCATCTTTTGATGTGCTCATTGGCCACCTGTACATCTTCTTTGGAGAAATGTCTATTCAAGTCTTTTGCACATTTTTTAATCAGATTGTTTATTTTCTTATTGTTGGGTTGTATAAGTTTGTCATGTATTCTGGATATCGATCCCTCATGAAGGTATATGATTTGCACATATTTTCTTCCATTTCATTGTTGCCTTTTCACTCTATTGATAATGTCCTTTGATGCACAGAAATTTTTAATTTTGAAAAAGTCTAATTTATCTTTTTGATAGTCTATTGTTGCCTGTGCTTTTGGTTGTCATAGTCATGAAATCATTGCCAAATCCAATGTCATGAAAATTTACCTCAGTATTTTCTTACAGCAGTTTTAATAGTTTAAGCTCTTGAGTTTAGGTCTTAGATCCAGTTTGAGTAAATTTTTGCGTATGATACAAAGTAAAGGTCCAGCTTCATTCTTTTGCATATAGATATTCAGCTTTCTCAGTATCATTTGTCGAAAAGACTGGTTTTTACCCATTAAATGATTTTGGCACCCTTGTTTAAAATCAGTGGACCATATAGTTGAGGGTTTATTTCTGAGCTCTCAATTTTATTGGTTCATGTATCTTGTTCCTATGCCAGTACCATACTGTTTTGACTACTATAGCGTTGTAGTAAGTTTTAAAGTCAGAATGTATGAGTCTTCCAACTTTTTTTTTTTTAATTGTTTTGGCTCTTCAGGGCCCTTTGCAATTTCATGTGAATTCGAAGATTGGTTTTCCCATTTCTTACAAAAATGGCTTTTGAAATTTTAAGAGATTGCTTCCAATCTGTAGATCCCTTTGTGTAGTATTGACATTTTAATAATGTTAAGTCTTCCTGTCCATGAGCATGGATGTCTTTCCATTTATTTAGACTTTTAATTTTTTTCAGCAGTATTTTATAGTTTTCAGTATACAAGTGTTTTATTTCCTTGGTTAGATTTAGTTCTAAGTTTTTAATTCTTTTAGGTGCCATTGTAAATTGAATTGCTTTCTTAATTTCCTTTTGGATTGTTTGTTGCTAGTATATAAAAACCTCATCACTTTTTTTTTTACAGAAAAGTTTAGCAGTCATGAGGATCATTGTTGAGATCCATTATGTCATTAGGGGCTGCAAAATGGTGGTATTCAGTCATTTCTAATTTATTAACTCAGGGTCTTTTATAAAGAGGAATTATGTTACCTTGATTTATAGTTGGTATAGAGAAAAGTGGATAATTCTTTCTCTTAATTTTAATAATATTCGTTCAGTACAGTGAGTTGGTTTCCTAGCAGTCCCTAAAGTTTTCCAATAAAAATAATAGAATTGTAGGCTTTTTTCCCCATTCAGTATCACATATTTTATATGTTTGAATTCATTACATTGGTTTTTTTCATGCTTAAGTTGTCCTATCTTTAGCCAGTAGGAGCCTCTTCAGGTGGACTCTTGGGTCATTCTAATATGACCTTGTTAACTTTCTAAAGGCAACCATTTTTAAACATTTTTTAGAACTTTAATTCTTGTGGATCAGGGGTCTCCAACCCCTGGGCCACACAGTAGGAAGTGTGTGGCCAGCGAGCAAAGCTTCATCTGTTTTTGCAGCCACTCGCATCACTAGCATCACCATCTCAGCTCCACCTCAGATCATCGGGCATTAGATTCTCATAGGAGCACCAGTCCCTGGTGCCAAAAAGGTGGGAGACTGCTGTTGAAGATAACTTTAAAAAATAATATGATTTCCAGTCTTATCTCCTTTAGACATCTTTGATTCCCAACTATGAAAAAAATGAAAATTTAACCTCCCTGTTTTTTAATCAAGTTGCTACGTGTGTGTGTGTGTGTGTGTGTTTAGTTCTGAACCTTTTCTCCTACCTTCTAATTTGGTCAGTTTACTTTTATAATATGAAATTAGGTAACATTCATATTTTGTATAGTAACAATAACAAAATTTTAGGCTTCACTTTAGGTTGTTTCTAAAATTTAAAAATCAGCAATCACTTATTATGACCATGAAAATACTGTTTATTGCTGAATTAAGTATAGTGTTAAAATTACAATTTCTTTTTTGTAATGTCCTACGTGCCACTTGATGGAATATGTTTCCAGCATCAGGATTTCTTTATTTTCTATTTATTAAATCAAACTGAATGAGTAAGTTTGTTTCTTGTTTGTATCATAACCTTTTCATTGGTTTTGTTTTTATTTTTTGAGAAATAATTCTTTTTCATTAACCATTGATATCTTCTGTGGCTCTCTGCTTCATGAACACACTTTCAACTGCTTTTTGTCTTATAGAAATTTCTTGAACTTTCTTGTCTGCTGCTCACTCCTCCCTTCTCTTTACAGTTTTATTTATTCTTTTTTTTTTTCTATTTAATAGGCTCTTGAGAGAGAAGACTAATATATATCCTAAACCTTTAAGCTACATGATTTCTATGCTAAAATTATATTTGCCTCACCTTTTATCTTTCCTAATTAAAGAGCTGTAATGTTTTTACTATTCTCAAACCTGTTTCTAGCATCTGGTTAATAATTTTTGTTGTCTTTTTTTTTTTTAAGTATTTTTAGTTCTGGTTACTATGAGTTTGTAACTAGTAGCTCAGAAGCTTATCTTAAGAATTAAAATATGAGTAGATAAAATTGTACTTTTTAAAATGACCAAATATAAGTTGAACAGATTGGGGAAGTTGTGTCTTGAACCTAGCTAAATGTGGAAGCATGGTTCAAAAGAAGGAGACAATGAGTGGATCAAGAAAAGGAGAGTAGATTAGATAAAATAATAAAAAAACAATAATGTGGTTGACTGATTTTAAGTGCTCAAGTCCCCAGAAGCTTGCTCTGAAAGCCTTAGCCAGAGAAAAAAATATGTAAATGATACCTGAAAATTGAGTCCATGGTCGGTAGAAAGTTTTGTGTCAGTAAATTTATATTTGTTATGTATTTCAGCTTCTGAAAATTTTCCAATACACTAACTTTGAGAAAAATAGAAATTACATCTTATCAACTCAAGATCGCCTTGTAGGGGGATTTGCCAAGTGGCCAGATAGTCATCCAGGTAATTTATTTTTTGTATAAATGCAGAACAACTTTTGTTTATTTTTTGACCAGACCTTCAAGCATCATTGTCAGGTCAGATGATAGAAAATTTAACGGTAGTTGTAAACTTAGGGTGTTTGGGGTATAAAAGGAGGATTTGATTATCAAGATGTATTGGTATAGTTTGGATTTTTTTTCCTAACATTTCATTTAGCAGTGTTTTATTTCATTAGAAGAAGTAAGGAAGATAGTCTGAATAAGCCATTTCCAAATTAGAGAATCATCTGGTCCATCCAAAATCTTTAGGCTTAAGTCAAAAATCTCAAATCCTGATTACAGGTATCCCTTACTGTCCAGACTTTTGCTCTCAGAATGTTGGCAGATTCAGGATATTTTTTTAGATGAATACTTTGCTATCTGAACTCTCACCGTTCACTATTTAAAACTCGGGAGCCAAACAGATTCAGACAATATGATGTTCCATGTTTTCCAAACTCAAGAACGGTAGACGTGAAGAGCAAAGGATTCTTGTAGTTCATAAGTACTTTAAATGGGTTCTTGAGAAATAATGAATGATCTGTATTAATAATGACATTTCTTCAAAATATGTGAATAATTCTATTTCCCCAATTCAGACCTCATTCCAAGCTACAGACTCCAGTATAACACTAGCTGCTCCGTAACAACATGGATGCCATCTACAGGCCTCTTAGATCTAGCCTGCCTACTGAACTCATCTCCATGCTCTACCTGGCCTCAAAACTTCAGTGGCACTAGACCCAAGTCCAGGCCTAGGATTTTGCAGAAGTCTCATCATTAGTCATCCTGTCTCTAGTCTAGTCCTCTTCATATTGACACTTGGTATGTGTGTGTACATGTCCTTAAATGAAAGGAGAAGGACCAAAGCTTTTTTCAGACCCTCAAAGGGATCTCTGATGCGAAAAAAGGTTGAGAACCTCTAATCTAAACTCTTCTATTAAATCTCTTAAAATCAAAGACTTCCTCAGCACTCGTAGTCAGTTCTTTGGCATAAGACACAAAGCCCTCCCAGGACTTAGAGGTGGCTCTTCTCCCACCTCTAGCATCATTCTCCAGGTTACCTGCACCTCCCCCTTATGTTTTCACCTTCAGCAAAATGAATCTGTAGTTTCCCAAAAAGTCAGTTTGAAAGTTTGTTAAACATAATTTAGAACACTGACATTTTTAATAAGGAAGTTGACAAAATATTAGCTATAAATATAATAATTTTTTTTGCAGCATTGCAGTAGAACTTCTTCAGCTCATCTCCTGTCATAGAACTGCTATCGTTGGAAAATGAACTTGAATCAAAATATAAATAAGAGACTCATGAAATCGTATTGCTCATGAAATCATATTTTTGTACCTGATATAAGCAGCAATATTTCCTCACATCCATACTTGTGTTTTCATGCAAAGTATGCATCTTCAGGAAAAAAAATATATACTGCTAAAGCAAAATAATATTTTAAGAATTTTAGTATCTATAGCAAATAACCACAAATATGTTATAAAAGTGCCTTAAAACAATTATTTTGGTCTTGATGCCATTGTTTTCAGTCAGTGCCTGGTATAATTTTAACAAATAATTATTTTTAACAAATAATAGGAGTAGAGAAATGACAGTCTCTTGGAAAGCATTTCTTGTATAAACATACTCGAAATACATTTTGAGTATTTACAGTAACTTTTTAAAAAGAAAGTTCTCGAAGTTTTTTTTAGAGAGATCAGTTCCTAACTTTAACATTTGTGTAAATACTTGGATATAATACTTCTTACTACAATGACTTCAGAGCCTGTATTGCACAGAATAGAAAGTCTTTGTATGATGAATTTATGTGGAAAGACCTGTTTCTAGAACCTTTATAAAAACGTTTAAACAACACTCTCTAAAATTAACTTATTCTTGATTCTGATAAGACTAGCAGCAGATTTGACAGAGATTTTATATACATTCATAGAAGAAATTTATGAAAAGAAGGAAGTTTTTATGAAGAAAACATATATTCAACACCTAATGTGTTTGAATACTACATACAGATAAAAGAGATTATTTTTAAAAACTAATGTTTGAAACAACTTTTGATTCACTGGCTTTTACAAAAATCCTTTTGAGAAAAAATAATTTTACATTAACTAGAAAGAGATCCTATTTTATGTTATTCTGGATGTGTTTTATTTCTCTTTCTGTTGCATTTTTTCCTGGAAAAGTTACCTTGTTTCTAGACAGTAAAATTTAATGTTGCTTTGTGCCTTTTGTAATTTTGGAATAACTGCAAGAAAAATATAATAGTATAGGGAAAATCAAATTTATTTTTTGTGGTCTGAAAATTAGAGGAAAATGAGCCAGAAGAAACCTCAGCATTCTCTGAAAAGACAAGGAAGGGAATTAACATGGGCCTCCATAAGTGAAATAACTTTCACAAATAACATTGAGTAAGCACAACTATTTGTGACTCCTGTTTTGAAAAGTAAATGATAATTATGTAAGTAAAACGTTTTCTTTAATTTTTTTGACAGAGCTTGACTTGATAAAATGTTTTGAACTTTAATAGCTCTTGAGGTCATAAATGATGGCCAATTCAAAAATAGAAAAAAAAATTTTTTGTAGTGTTCCCATAACTGCAGAGCTCTGAGTGCTTCAGAAGTCCATATAAGGCTCTCAGGCAGGCAAGAGCCATGTGATTTCAGTGTCCTCTTTAATGGAAAGGATTGCTGCCCCCTGAAAGATGGGAAGCTGTAGTGAAGCCAATGTAGAAGAATTATTATGGTATGAACACTCACATTATTGTAACTAAATAGAATGTGAGTTTGTTTTTATTGTCAGGTCAGATATTTTTAGAATGACTGGCATTACCCTAAATTGGAGAGTTAAATATGGGACAGCATTCCAGAATGGATTATTTTGCCTAAGCTCCTTTCATTTAACACAGTATTAGGATAGTATATGGTTTAGGAACTGTCAGAGCTAAAACTTAGAAGGGAGGCGTACTGCTACTTAAATTCAAATGTTTCTTTATTTTCATTTTTAAGAAAATATTTTCTTTTCATGATAGAGAGTTAAAGCCCCTTGTTTCCATATTCTGTAGTAAGCAAAGGGGAAAAACCCACTAAAGTGAGAAGTCTTTTATATTACTGCTACTCTTTCTTTTTGTCCTTTAATCACAGAGGGTATTGGGAATGTCACTTCTTCAGCTAGAAACTATTTTCCTTTAATATTATTTTCTTGAATAAAATATCAGCTGATTTTGATTATGTTTTTTAAAAAATTGGTGTTTGAGATTTTGAGAAAGCAAATATTTCAAAAACTATATTTAAAATTTTTCTATATTCTAAAGTGATGGGCTGATTATGTAGCTGAAATATTTCATAGCATGTACGAATAAGAATGCCTATTCTGATAAAAATGCGTCATTTTCAGATGCTTTGCATGCATACTTTGGGATCTGTGGCCTGTCACTAATGGAGGAAAGTGGAATTCGTAAAGTTCATCCTGCCCTGAATGTAAGCACACGGACTTCTGAACGCCTTCAAGATCTCCATCAGAGCTGGAAAACCAAGGACTCAAAACAATGCCCAGAGAATGTACACATCTCCACATGACTGACTTTAGCTTGGGAGGGTGGGGGGATTTGTAGCAGAACTGTAGCTCACGGTTAAAAGCCATGTGTAACCAAGTGTGCTCTTTTTTTAAGAGAGAGACTTACAATCAAATCTTATGTGGATGTCACTTTGGGATATGGTCTTGAGCCAGTTACCTTTGTACTGGGTTTCAAGAAGATCTTTGACATTTGAACCACAGTGGACTCTGGTGTGGTTCTTAAATGTTTATACTGTATTTCTAAGAAGTTCTTTGAGGCAGATTAACTGTATAGGTAGGTTATCTTTTTAAAAACTCTTCAGTACAAATTCTATCATATTATAAAATTGACACAAAACAAGTTTACAGTTCACATAGCATTGATAATCTTTGGGGGAACACTTAGTGATCATTTTAAAAGCTTGACTGCTGATGACAGAAAATTGCTTTAATGAATTAGGTATCTGGGATTATTCTTTGAAAATATGATCCCATAATTTTTAAAAATTTTTAAATAACTCATTTAAGAATGAGTTATTTTGTCTTATTTTTAAGTAAAGTGTGTGCCAATTAAACTTCTACAGCCTATGTAAACGAAATTAACTTCATAACAAGAATGAATAGGCTTAATACAATAATTTTCTAAAGGCAAATTGTTTTAAGAATACCTATTATTATGTAACTGAAGGAAAAGTAATTTCACTGTATGTGACTGTGAATAGGTAAATGTACCATGCAGGTCATTTATTTAGATATTGCTGGGGTGAATAACAGTCATGTTTGATTTTAATCTCAAATCATTAGTTGCTTTTTTTTATGGGGAGAAAACAGTCTTATCTAAAAGACATTTAGTGGTTTTGTTTATTTTTCTGAGATATGTGATATTATAAATTGTACTTTTATAATTGAGTTATTTTTAGCCATTTGCCCCATGTTTTAGCTGCCCTAATTTCAAACTAATAATTTTGTAATTTTTTCAAATTAAATAAGTAAAAATTTAATTAAAAAGCAGGACCACTCAAGTAAATATAATGGTGTAGCCCTGTACACGGTCATTTATATTTTTATATTTTCAGGTAAGTGGGAGAGAAATGTACTATTTAAGATTAAAGACTGGGGTCTTGCTTTTATTCTTTTTCTTTTGTTTTCTTCATTCTGTGAAGTTGCTAATTGTAAAGGTGTCTTATATGGAAATGTGTCTTATTAGTAACCTATCAGTAAAATGTGTCTTATTAGTAACCTATCAGTCACTATTGCTTAGTGACTTTCAAAGATATGAAACTAGTCAAATGGAGAAGGAAAATGCTTCACTGAAGGAGTCGGGTTCATGTTAAAGTCTTGGTGATAATAAATGTTGAATTATTAGTTCTCCAAGTATCAGTATAAAAACTGAATTACTAGTATCACTATTTAGGTTTGTAGTACTAATAATGTTATTTAAATTTCTTCCTAAATTAGAGGGAAAAGATACCCTTAAATAATGGTGCTTCCTAGGGAAAGCTGGTAAATACTTGGAGAAATGATTCATGTATTATTGGTGTGGTTAGTTTTAAACCTCAGTTTGCCAAAGTCAGCTTTTTTAAAATTTTAATTAGAAATAAAAATTTTCTGATGGTAGGGAAAAAATAAGCTTAACAACAGATGTTATCCTTCCATGTGTTTGTTCCAGTTGCTTTGTTTAAATCCAGGCAAATTTAGACATCCGTATCTCAAACTAAGTCATCTCTTTGACATTGGGAGTTAAAATACTACATATGCATTGGCTTTAAAACTATATAAAAAGTCCAAATTGTTTTTCCTGAATCACCATTAGTGGTTGGAAGGTAAGAAAGTTAATAACAGTAACTGAATTTGTAAATGAAAGAGAATTCCAAGGTAAAAGTATTTCATAAAACTATTAAGAAATATTTCCTAACTCCTGTATAATTTAATAGCATAAATTTATAAATTATAATATTCTAATTGACATACTTGTGAGAGGCTTTCTTGTGAAACTTTATGAACCAGTGATTGTCATATTCCACAGCAGCATATTGAGCAAAAAAAAATACTAGGCCAGTTTGAATTGTGGAGAAATTATGTCTAACTTTAAAAAAATTGTAATTTATAAGAAAATAACTTATTCATAAGTTATAAGTACTACTTCACATATATACTTTGTTTTTTTAGCAGTAGTGATTGATATGAGAAGGCAATTATGAAGTCCGAAATCTAATAACTATTCTCTTTGCTCTGTCCTCACTACCATTGTGGTAATTTTTAGAAGATAGTAGGAGAAGCTTTGTTTTGAGCATCTGCATGAAAACAGGGTTATAATCAGGTCATACAACACAATTAAACCTATTTATTATTATCCCACAGTGTTTTAGATCTGATCTTATTATGTGCTCACTTCAGCAGCACATATACAAAAATTAGATTTGACCTATTATATATACATTTTTAATAGATCTTTAGTTATAAATATTTAATTTAAATTCAAATAGAAATTTTGTTAACAGTAGTACATAGTTTGAAAACTGTCGGACCTGATAGTTGAGAGGTCCTCTGGAGTCAGGTGACAGGTTTAAATTCCAGATCTGCCAGTTCAGCAGTATGAGCTTGGACCCTAACCTCCCCACCGATAAATTGAGGGAGGGAAAAAATCTTAACTCATGAAGTTGTTTGAGGATTAAATGCAATAATACACCTAAAGCACCTAGCATAGTACCCGAAATATAGTAAATTCCTAATTATAATTTCTGTCATAACTTCCATAAAATTTTTATTAAAACCTGTTTTCTATAACACAGATCTTACAGAGTTCGAGCTTAGGGAAGATGATGGCAGCAGTATAGTTTTTGAATCTCCCCATAAGAATGCAGAGTAACTAGGATAGCCACAAACCTTATTCTACAAAACTAGATGACAGCATATCCCCATGAACCCCAATATCCAAGTAAGTGAGGACAAACCACTGGCTGATAATTTCAGCATCTGTATGGGAGGAAGTGGAAGGCAGGCAGCTGGTTTCTGACAGCCTTGAGAAAAAGCAGAAGTACAACATTGCCCACAGTTTCTCACTAGAAAGTGCAGTGGGACAATCTGAGAACAAAAGCTGAAACTGGGAGGGCTTCTATGGGTTCTCATTTGCAGATGAGAGTTACAGCAATAAAATAAGATCTGATGATTGTGCTAGAGGAGTCTGGGCCCAGTCCTGTATACCTCCTAAAAGTAACGCGACAAAGCCTAGCACTGAGGAGAAACTGCTAAAATTAGAATCCAAATTGGGCAGGACTGGTATAATAGAACAAAAAGAAAAAGTCCAGTTAAATGTGGGAAGGAAGGCCAACATAGAGACGTTTTATATAAATACCATCTTTTAATTTTGTAAAAATGAAAAGGGAGCTTTAGGGCTATGGAACTAAAAAAAGTCATCCTAGAGCACCCCTGCCTCCTAAAAGTACAGGAAAACTCATTTCATAAAAATAGAAAAAGCAACTGAAAAGGTTTACAGTCATATCCCATGTAAAGTTATTGTAAGAAATGAGAGAATAAGCAGACTGACATCCCCAGACAGTGAAAGCTCACCAGGAAGACATGACCACCAGACTGATGAAAACCTAATAAGTTATGGCTGGAAAGTTATAGTATTTAGAACTATATCAGTATAATGGGAAAAGCTGAAAATTAAACTACTAAGTCAAAAACTAGAGGAAAAAGCAAACAGAAAGCAGAAGGAAGGAATTAGTAAAAAGTAGGGGAGGAGAGAATAAAATGGACAAACCACCAGCTAATCTATTCAAGAAAAAAAGGGAGGAACAAAAATACACAACTTAAATGACAAGAGAGAAATAACCGTAAAACAATTTTCAAAATCATGAGGCTACTTTGAATAATTTTATACAATTATAAAAATAATAACTTAGAAAAATGCAAGTTGCCAAGATTTGCCGTAGTGGATAGAAAGATTCAAAACTACCATAGAAGAAACAAATTGTTAAAGGACACCTTAAGAAAAAGCATCAGGCCCAGATTGTTTCAAGGAGATTTCTACCTAACCTGTAAGATTAAATAATCTCGTGATGTTTAAACAATTCCAGAGGCTAAAAAAAAATCTTGAACCTTAAAGTACGCCCCCCCACAAAAAAAAAAGATTTCCAAATTTATTTTGTGAAGTGACTATAACAGCATGGTTTCTAAAACCTGACAAAGATTGTACCAAAGAGAAAATTATAGGCCACTCTCACTTAAGGATATCATTGCAAAAATTTTAATACATTAGCAAACAATCCAACAGCACTTTCAAAAAGTAATAAATCATGACTAAGTTGGGTTTATTATAGAAATGAAAGGAAAACTCAATGTTAGACAACTATTAACATATCGAAAGAGTTAAGGAGAAAAATCATGATTATCTCCATCGTCGCAGAAAAGATATTTGACAGAATTGAGTAGTCGTTCATGTTAAATAACTCAATAAGTAAAAGTTGAGTAATTTGTTGACATTCTACTTCTGCTGGGAAGCCAGCATCTGAACATCCAAACAAAAGAGGCATTCCAGCCAAAGTAAGGAATAAGGCCCAGCCCACCATCTCTTCTGCTACTTAGCATTGTGTTGGGATTTTAGCTAATGCAGTTTGACAAAAAGGAAAGAAAGGAATTAGGAAGAGGTAAAACTTCAGGGATAAGATTTTATCTGGAAAATCCAAGGAATTTGTTGAAAAACCTTAAAGAACTTAGTGAAGTAGCAGGTACAATTAGTATGCAAATATCAGTAGTCTTCACCAGACACAGAAGAGTGCATACTCTGATTCCATTTAGATGAACTTCAAAACAGGAAAAACGTATCTGTTGTCTCAGAAACTAGTACCTCCCTTGCAGTCACTTCTGCCCTCCCCAAAAGTAAGCACTATCATGACTTAAATCACCATCAGTTTTGTCTGGTTTTCAACTTCATGTAAATGGAGTCATAATATATCCATTTATTTTTTCAGCTGTCTTTAGCTCAAGGGTCGGAAGAATACAAGGCAGTTTCTGTGGTGCTGGTAATGTTTCTTGATCTAGGTGCTGGTTCCACAGGTGCATTCACTTTATGAATATGAAGCTGTACACTTACGATTTGTGCACTTTTCTGTATGTATAATTATAGTTCAATACAAATGTTTACTAAGAAGAATAAAAGACTTTATACAAACCTAAACTAGTTAGAAGATACACTTAAAGATTCCTTTTATGATTTCAAAAAAGAAAAACGTGTAAACTTAAGACATATCCAAAACCTATATGAGGAAAACTTAAAAAATAAAATTCTTGGAAGACAAACTCTTGAACAAATGAAATGATATACCATATCCTTAGATAAGATTCAACATCAAAACATGTTTTTCTCTAGGTTAATTTATAAACTTAATGGTATCCCAATAAAAATTATGTTTGTTTTTATTTGAGAGAACACACAAAGATTACTATAAAAACCAAACAAAAATAGGGAATTAGCCCTACCAGACATTAACACATACTTTTAAATCCTTCTAGTACCACATACATACTTAACAAAAACATATAGACATATATAAATATAATTATATATTCTTTAACTTTTTTCCATATTCAATAATATGACTACCTTTCACTATCCATACTTTGCTTTAAACAGTTGCATAATATTGCATAAACGTATCATAATCAGTGCCTTATTTTTCACAATTAAAAAATATTGCTGTAAGATCTTTGAAAATGTAAAAATGTATCATTACCTGCTTATATGATTCTTTAAGCTAAATTTATAGATGTGGAATTGCTGGGGCAAAGAGTGTGCACATTATAGATTGTGATAGCTTTTGCCACACTGCTTTCTAAGGTCGTACTAGTGCATACTACCTTGACACTAAGATTTTAAATGCGAACAGAAAATAGTCTTAAAATTCACTGGAGAAACTATGAGCTTAGGCTCAAAGCCAATTTCCCTCTTATTTAATCCTAGATGAACAAATCAGGGAGTTTCGTAGAACTTTGTGAAGTCTCTAAGGAACAAAGGAAAATAATCACTAAAATAATTAATTTGATGAAGTGTAGGTAAGTAGCGTGCTAGAATATTAGTGGATTTTTGTCTTGCCATTTGAATTTCAACATTGAGTACCATGCTAGAATATTCAGAAATGATATTCTGCTACAGAATGTCGATTTTTCATGCTGTAGGACATACAATAGAAAATTTAATGGTGTCTATGGCCATGCTACCCTGAACAAGCCCGATCCCATCTGATCTCGGAAGCTAAGCAAGATTGGGCCTGGTTAGTACTTACATGGGAGACCACCTAAGAAGACCAGGTGGTGTAGGTGTAAAAAATAAAAAATAAGGGATTGTAAACCGACAAGGTCCTTGCAATCTGTGAGGTCAACCAAGGGTTGCCTCGCCTAATAAAAAAAAAAAAAAAAAAGATTAAATTAGAGAAATGTGCATATAAGAATAATTGTTCAGGCAATACCTATTTTACTTTTATGACATACTTATTTTAATATTTCTCCTGTTAAGATTATTTCCAAGTTATAAATGTTGCTGTGATCATATATATTTTTCTATGGTGTTCCCAGAAGGAAATTTCTGGATTAAATAATGTGTACTTTAAAATTATTGGTAACAACTGTTAAATTGCTATCCAAAAACAGTGTAGCCTCAGGATGTTAGAGTACATGTTTCCTCATATCCTCAACAGCACTGATGTTATCTTTAATTTTTTCCATTCTGCATGAAAAAAAAAAGATAATCCCCTGTTGATAACACATGCAGAAAACAAGTCTAAGTTTTGGGGGAAGTTTATATGTGTTGTATGAATAAATGCTAATTGGTCTACGTCTGTGAGGGATATCAAAAAGATGTCTTTTCATTAACATAGGAAAAACAGTAGTTTTCAAAGTGTGAGCTGCAGACTGAAGCAGTGGCATCACCTGGGAACTTTTAGAAATGTACATTCTCAGTCCCCA